GGAAGCAGTGCTTCTGTGTGTCATTTAGGCTGCTAAGATGCTGACACCGGTCACGCGTATGCCTTAGCGTGTAGAGTAACTTACAAAGTGACTCAGAGATACACACAAAAGCACTAGATAAATCAAAATGGGAGTCTGGAAGCACATAAGCAGACTGCAGGAAGGCACAGATTGAAAAGAATAAAGACTGATGTGGACAAAAGAAAAAAATGTCAGGTTTCAGCCTTAAATATCGACCAGGTTATTGGGTATAACTGGTTTAACTCTGCTAATTAAAAGATGGACGAACGGAGTGAACTTTCAAATGCTCCAGTTGCATGCTATCTGTAAGACATGACTCCCACTTAGTGATGCAGGTGAGCTGAAAGCAAAGGACAGAAAGGTCAGATTGTACAAACATTAAAAAAAAATGGCAGTACCACCCACGCTAACAAAGAGCAAGGAAAACTCCCAGAGGAAGAGAGGGGTGTCGGAATGGGGCAAGAGTACCCACAAATAAGACTTCTGAATGTGTGCACACGGGATATAACCGAAGACTATGGGATGTAAAGACCGCCCTGAAAAACAATTACAAAAGCTCCCAGGAGCAGGGAATGGGTCATTTTATGGCTTGCTTTCCTGTTTCTGAAAGATCCATAATAAGATAAAAATGAAACGATGTATCTGGGGTTTCCCTCAGTGCTATCCAGAGAGAGGGAGAAGCAGGTGGACTGTGTAGAAGGTGGTTAGCCAGCTGGAGGTCACAGGTCACGTGGGCTCTCCAGGGTGGTTTTGTACTGTTGTGTAGCTGAGGACAACCGGGAACAGATCTTCTCACTTCAGTCTCTCCAGACCTGCGGGCTGCTCCTGAGCTATGGGGCGGATTCGGCTCTGGACTTTGCAGACAGACCAGGGACCTGGTGTGAATCTTCCTCTGCGTACCTTATCCCTGTGACCCTGGGCAAAGCTGCTGAACTTTTTACCCTGTAGGGCAAATACCAGATGCTGATAGATGTTACTGCCAAGGAAGAATGTAAGGTGAGGGAAGGGAGGTTCTGAGCAGTCCCTTGGCGGGAAGAAAGAGACAGGAGAAAAAGTTAGACGAGAGAGGCATAGTTGCCAGTGGGTCAGCGCGCCAGAATTCAGGAAAAGGTTAAAGAGCTTTAGTAGACCAGCTGAGAAGCCCTTAGAGTTGGTGTTCAGAATGGCTTTGGTTCGGCGGAGGGCGTGGGTGCAGATTCAATGCTGAGGAATAGGTCGAGGAAGAGGAACAATGCTCTCCACTCAGAACAGTGGCAAAGGTGGAACGGGGAGGAGGGAGGGAGATACAATGATCTGAGGGGAGGGACTCTAAGGACACGGACAAGCAGAGAGGAAGGTGTTGGCTAGTAGGGAGGGCAGGTTCCATCTCTGCGTTCTTGGGGACCATGTGCAAACGTATCTTTGATATTCCACTGCCCTGCCAGGTGTGTCCTTAGAAGTGCACACTCCAGGACAGCTGCGGGACCAGACATCAGGTCTGTTTTTGATGCTTGGTGGGAGCCGAGCACTGTTTTCCACGGCAGCTGTGGCAGCTGCACTGCTCACATTCCCCAGCAATGCAATGGTTCCAGGTTCTTCACTTCCTCTCTAGCACCTGTGGCTTTGATTTGCTATGTCGACACAGGCATCCTGAGAGATGTCAGGTGATGTCTTGTCATAGCCGTGACACATCAATGAAGGAAAATATGGGGTATGTATGTTTATCATATGTATGTAGTAGAATACTATCAGCCTTAAAAGGGAAGCAACCCTAGCTTATGCTACAACACGAACAAATCTAAAGAACGTTACACTCAGTGAAACAGAAGGTGCCATGAGATCCCACTTTTATGAGGTGGCTAAAGTAGTCTTGTAGGAACACAGAATACGAGGGCTGTATCCAAGGCTGGGGTGAGACCTGAAGGAACTATAGTTTAATGGTTATGAAGGTTCAGTGATCATAGGCATTTAAGTTCTACTAGAGATTTATGGCACATTGTGCACCTATGTTTAAGAAGGTGATGTTATAGCTGGGCAGTGGTGGCATATGCTTTTAATTCCGTACTTGGGAGACAGAGGCAGGTGGATCTTTGAGTTTGAGGATAGCCTGGCCTATGACATGAGTTCCAGGACAGCCAGGACTATACAGTGTAATCAGACATCTCTTTTTTGCCTTCCTGTTCCCAAATACCCTGTGGTGGCTTCCCAAATAATTGACATGGAGGCTTAATAATACTTATAAATACTTGGTTGATAGCTCAGGCTTGTTACTAGCTAACTCTTACATTTAAATTAACCCATTTCTGTCAATCTCTGTATTGCCAAGTGGCATGTCTTGCTTCCTGGCTGACTGGCTGGCGTCTCTTGACTCTGCCCTTCTCCTTCCCATCATATTTAGTTTAGCTGCCCTGCCTATACTTCCTGCCTGGCTACTGGCCAATCAGTGTTTTATTAAACCAATTCAGGTGATAAATTTTTATAGTGTACAAGAGAATTAGTTTACAGCAACACAGAGAAACCCTGTCTCAAACAAAACAAAACAAAACAAAACACATGCCCCCCCAACCAAAAACAACAAACAAACAACAAAACAAAACAAGGTGGTGATATTGTGTTCTTCTGCATTTGTGCAGATGGTGGACCTCATGTTTGTTTTTTTTATTTCTCTCTCTCTTTCTTTTTGCACAAAAATAAAGGGACACCAGGAAATCTTTGGAAGACTAGATGGTATATTACCTTAAATCGGTGATGGAATCCCAGGTATTTACAGAGTTCAAAGGACACCAAAGTAGACACATTAAATCTATGCAGATCTGTGCATATCAATTATACCTCAAAGCTGGAGAGAAGGGGAGGAAGAGGAGGGAAGAAGGGAGGGCCAGTCTGTCACGTGAGAGAAAGGTGGTCTCAAGAGCAAGGTGGGAAGCCCTTCTTCCATGCAGACTGGGATTGTGCCCAAGGCTGCAGTGTCTGTCCCTGAAAAACCCCCTCTTCCATTCAAAAGAAAGGAAGACCAGAGGGGAATCAGGACTTATACAAGCTCACTAGATCTTATTCACAATGATGGGATTGTGGTGTTGTTTTGAAAGGTTGGTTCTTGAAAGGTTGTTCTATATCAACACTAACTTGTTTATAGATGGAATATGTCTGGGATCTACTTTACCCCATGAGGAATCTGAGAATTACGCCTTTGTTCTTCTAGAGAGAGGCTCCAGAACAGGTCTCTTAGGAATTGGAGTGCCGTGTCAAGCCCTCCTATGTTTGTTTGTCATTGACTAGGTGACCTCCAGTTACTGCCATTAGTCATTTGGGATGGTGACACGCTGAGCAGTGTGCTAACAAGCCCTTGCCAGAGAGGCTGTACTCGTATTTCATTATTCTCCAGAGCGACCAGTCTGCACTGACTCACCCACACCCACTGGGAGGCCTGTGTGTCCAATCTGGAAATCCCTGGGAGAAAGACATTTCCCCATCCCTGGGTGTGAGGTACCTGTGCTCAGCAACTGAGGACCAAGGGGCTCAGGTGACCAGTCCGACAAGGTCAGCTTCCTCTAAGGCTGCCACAGGCTGGGTGTGGTTGGAGAGTGCTGCACATGGGTGATGGTGGGTGATGGTGAGGTGGCAGGAACTGTGGGAGGAGCCTATCGGAAGGCACTTAGGTCATGGGAGCACACCCTCAGAAGGGATGGATTCGGGTCTTCTGGGAACCCCTAGAGGAGGTTGTGCTAAGCTTATTGCAACCTGACAAACCCCTGACTCACTGGCCCACTTTCTGCCTTGTGTGTGATCCTCCCTCTCACACCCACTCCCCCCACGAAGCTATCCTCCATGTTCTGATGGCTGAGAAGACCCTTACGAGTGCTCAGCAGATGCTCTAAACCTCCATGCCTCCATGTCATACAGTTTCTGGCATTTTGTTACAACATCACAAAATGGACCAAGATATTTGTATAGGACTTCCCTCCCCCACTTCTCTTTATAATTTTTTTTGACATGAGGGTCTTAATATATAGCCCAGGCTAGAAAATCTTACTCACTATGTAGCCAATGCTGACCTTTTCTTGCCTTTGCCGCCTCCTAAGTGCTAGGATTATAGTACCACATGAAGACATTTCCCAGTTCCAACAAGAAGTGCCTCTCTCCAAGCTGAGGGTGCTAACAGACAAGCATGCCTCTTGAAATCCAGGTACCTATACCCATAACTACTGTACCTCCTCAGCAAACACCCTTCACCTCTAGTGATGATGGTGGGGGCCTGGAGGGAACAGAAACTCACAGTGTACACAGGCTTAAGCGACAAGGTCAAGCTTTATTGGGGTGATCACATTCATGTTTGTACTGTTCACCATAGGTAGAGAAGGCCAGTTAGAAAATTGTCCCGTTTCCTTCAATTCCATCTGTATTCGGCAAGCAGCTTCACATATTGTCCGATGAACCCACCCCACCTTAGGAGGACACACTAGTTCATACAATTGTCCCCAGACAGAGTGAAACAGTATATATAACATGCTAGACCCTTTACAAGTCCAAACTTTAGAAACTTGGGGTGCACTTGTAAAGCTAACTTTGTGTGTTTTTTTCCAGGTAAGGAAGGCCAGTCATAAAAAAATACTTTATATAAGTTCAAGGTCAGAACTAAAATATTCAACCCTATAAAAATATCTTACTGACGAAACTATTAATTTCTAGATAAATCATTCTTTATGACAAGTTATATAAATTCTCAGGAAATACCCACTAAGTCAGACGTCTGCGTAGGACTTGTCAAGATGACTTCAAGGTTCATCTGTCACCAGGGTTTTGTTTTCAGAGACGGACCACAGTTTTGACTTAGGTGGTGTGTGAATAGTTCAGGTGTTCTACAAAAATTGAACTCAAGAATCTATTTGCTATGAGTCTTTACAGACAAACTCTCACCCTAGAGGGAGTGGTCATATTGGTGTTGTCTACAGACAGGGCACATGCTCTGTCAGGGCTCACCTACACTTGCCTTGAAATGCTTAACTCGGGAAACTTGTGATTGCGTTTTGACCACTGTCTGAGATGAGCTCATTTATTTCATTCTGCTTGCTCTCTTTCAGGGCATGGTTTCTCTGTGCCTGCATCCTCTTGGATCTCCTGAAACACAACTTTAGCAGCAGGTAGCACAACTCGGCCACATTGAGCAGCATGCAAATCACAGATGCGGAAATCATAAAAACCGTGAACACCGTTTTCTCGGTTGGTCTCGAAATAAAGCAGTCCACGAGATTGGGGCAGGGCTCAATGCCGCATTTCAGTACCCAGGGCAGGTGGTAGCCATTGTAGAGGAAGTAGAACACATACATGAAGGCGGCTTCAAAGATGATGCGGAAGAAGATGCTGCTGGTGTACGTCCACCAGAGCGAGCCCTCGATGCGCACCTTCTGCCGTTTGATGTCCTCCAGGTCTTTAAACTCATTCCTCTTCTCTCCACGTTTGAACTTCCGGGCGGTTTCGTGTCTGTAGTAGGCCACATGCATGGCCACCAGCAGCGCTGGGGTGGACACGAAGATCAACTGCAGAGCCCAGAGCCGGATGTGGGACACGGGGAAGAAGTGGTCGTAGCAGACGTTCTTGCACCCTGGCTGCAGAGTGTTGCACACAAAATCCTCCTGCTCATCGCCCCACACTTCCTGGGCGGCCACCACAAGGATCATGACTCGGAAAATGAAGATGACCGTGATCCACACCTTCCCTATGCTGGTGGAGTGCTTGTTCACACCACCGATGACAGTGTGCAGGGCCCCCCAATCCATGGCGCAGGTCTATTCCTGAACAGACAAAAAGGAGCAAAGCGAGTTAGCAGAAGGCGCCTCTGAATTAACCAATGAGTACCACAGTGAATTACAAGGCCGTGCAAATCTGGGCAGGTCTCAACTGCCTAGCTGGCCATTCACTGTGTGTTTTTCTGATAAGGATCGTCCATTATAAAGATGTTCTCTCGTTTCTGACCACAAGTAACCAATAGTGTGCCAACTTCTTTATTCCCTTTATGAGGGCAACATCAACCCGACAACTTCCTTACTAGGGAAAGAGGTTTAATAAATGAGCATCGCAGTAAGCAGGTACTTGATTTCACCTTTCTCCTAAGAATTGTGCCTTTCACATGCCACATAAATCATCTAAGTTCATTTGGACACAGGATGTATATTAAGCTGCTGTTTGTCATTAATTCAAAAACACAGGTAAACAAACTCATGCCCTAGTTCCCGTTCTCCCCTCTGCAAATGCACACATTCTATCATTGTGATTTGACTCAGGGACTCAGAACTTCTGCCATAGCTTTTAGTAATTAAGCAGTTTATCCAAGCCACAAAATAACTGCAAAAAAATCACTCATTATGATAAACGACATACTCTGGTTTACTTAGCAGACTGAGAAGAAACCATGCTGCCAGTTGACCTTATGCAGTGTATATTTATTTCTAGCTTGAATAAACCATCTGCTGCAATCATGTGCTCTCAGGAAAGTTAATACCTTCCCCAAAAGGGAATCACAAGGTTTGACACAAGTTGTTTCCTTGTTCTCTGATGGAAGCAGGCCATGTGTTGGCTGTTGCTCAAAACTACAGGTCCCCTTGCACCAGGGGCCACTGAAGCCCAGGGCTTTCTTCCCTTCTAAAAGACTTATTTGACATCTTAAGAGAAAAAGATTTTCTTTCTTCTAAGGCAGGGGTTCTCAGTCTTCCTAACACTGCAACCTTTTAACACAGTTCCTCATGTTGTGGTGCCCTCCACAACTATAAAAGTATTTCATTGCTACTTCGTATCTATAATTTTGCTACTGTTATGAATCATAATATAAGTTTCTGTGATGATGTGAGATATCCCTCTGTATGCTGTGAATATATTTTATTACTTTTGGTTAATAAAGAAGCTGCTTTGGCCTATGGTAGTGTAGAATATAGCTAGGCAAGAAACCCAAGCTGAGACAGAGAGAGAAAGAAGGTGAAATTGAGGGAGATGCAAGCAGCTGCTGGAGAAGTAAGATATGAGGTAACAAGCCGTGAGCCTTGTGGCAAAATACAGAATAATAGAAATGGGTTTATTTAAGTTGAAGGAGCTAGTTGATAATAAGCCTGAGCTAATGGGCAAAAAAGTTTGTAATTAATGTAAATTTCTGTGTGTTTACTTGGGACTAGGCTGCTGGGAAATGAAGATGGAGCCTCCACATACATCTGTGTTTTCTGATGGTCTTAAGCAATCCCTGTGAAAGGGTCATTCAAACCCCAAGGGATTGAAACTCACAGGTTAAGAACTCTTACTTTAATCCACACAGCTGTTTCTTATCTCACATCACCAAGAAGAAAGAATTGGTTGGCTTGCTCTTTCTTTTAAAGGTGTGTATGTGTGTGGGGATAATGAATGTCAGACACTGAAAACCTTTAGAAACAGTCAGACAATTTTTAATCCACTTGGAGGGGATGAAGGAGTCACCAAAATCTTTTTGTTGCTGGTCTCAGGAGACATTCTTTTGGAAGTGGGTGAGGAACACTGTCCAGATTCCCCCAAAGTTAACCATGCTCAATGCCCAACCTACCTTGGTACACAGCCTACCCTCAGCATTGCTGGCCACTCCTCACACTGCCCACCATGCCCCCTGGGATGTCTTGGGTTTGGCTGATTTTAGAGTACATGCTTTTCTCAGAAAGCTACCAGGTTTGGGCTCACAAAGTGACTGCCACATCCATCTGACCCTTGGGTGCTGATTTCTGCTCCTACCGGGTCAGACAATGGAGGCTGAGGTGCACATCATGGGGGATAGAAGTGAACATGGCAGTATGGCTAGAAACTTCTGTGTTTTGGTCCCAAGGATTTGCCCCCTTGCCATGGGCCAGTACATCAGAATGTTCATAGTTCCAAAGGTTGATCATATGCTCTGACTACAAGGCTATCACAGAAGAGCTGGATTCTTAGAGCCACCCTGAACTTGAGCTTGCTGACTCCCAGTATTTGCAAAAGTGGAGGAATGAGGCTTCTTAAAAAATGTTCCCATTGTTATAGCGGCAGGTGAGAGTGGGAACCTAAGGTCACAGAGATGGGGACAACTCAGATCAAAGGTTAATGGAGAGGTTCAAATCTGTAAAAAACAAAAACAAAATGGGAATATACAAGTAAAACATGCACAACATGAAAAGGAGAGAGAGATACAGTGCTCAGTGTGCAAAAAAGTAGTGGTACTGTCCTTGATGATATGGCTGTGGTTAGCGTTTGCTGTTGTTGTTTCTGCTTTTGAGACCGAGTCTCATGTAGCCCAGGCAGGCTTAGGGATCCCATTCTCCTTCCTTTACCTCCTGAGTTGGGATTACAGGCATGTACCACCATACCTCACTCCAGATGGTACAATTTTAATTGACAACCAATAAAAAGTATGTATGTATGTTGTATGTATGTATGTATGTATGTATGTATGTATGTATGTATCTATCTATCTATCTATCTATCTATCTATCTATCTATCATGCTAGGGATGGAACTCCAGAACTTTGTGTGTGCCAGGTGAGCGTCTACTAACTGAACTATATCCTAGAGCCTCCAGAAAAGATCTAAAATGACGCTCTTTTATTATTTTGTAACAGTTGGGCAGTAATTACCATGGCAATAGCATGGCCAGCATCTTAGCTACAGCTAGTGTTTATAGGCATCTCACAATATCAGCAACATAGTTGCATCCTCACAGTTCCTTTACTAATATACCGTAACTCTGTTGTTAAGTGCTCTGACAAGCACTGTTATCAGCCGGACTTTAGTGTCTTTTGTTTTACTGTGGAAAAATGACTTAGGCTACAAGCACTGAGGGTCCAGGCTCCCTTCCGGGGTACCTGTGGGAGTCTTAGTAGGTTGCTGAGTCTTGAATGAGGGTCTTTTATTTCACAAGAGGAGCAGTTAAGAGGCCAAGGGAAACTAGTTTGAGGGCATGAACTGTGGGGCACCTGGCAACAATCTTGGCAATTGTAGCAGAAAGATTCACACCTTGTGCTGACCTGGAACTTAAAAGCTGGGTTGGGTATTTGGCATTAACAGAAAGCTAGGAGTCTGAAAAATTGAAACAGGTGCTCGGTAAAGCTATGGTTCTCAGTCCTGGAGACGTTTAGTCAGAGGCACGCTGAGAGTCAACAGGTAGAGAGATGGATTGGGAAGCCATGGTCTGAAGCTCCACAACTTAAGAGTATTTATTAAAGTGTTCTCTCTTATTTACCATATATTCCATGCCCCAAAGAGACTTTCATTCCCCACCATAAGTATCTGTGTGATTAAAAAAACCTTAATCTTAAGTAAAATGAATTATGAAAATTACATTTTAGTTCTTCTGGAAAGACGCTCTATTCCATTTTCCTAACTGTTGCTGCTATTCCTGGAGGTGTGCCAACATGTGGCCTGCGAGGAGGCAGGAGCATGTAAGTCTTGCAGTAGGCACATACTTTGGCACAGCTGTTCCCCATGAGATACTGCTCGTTTTAAGATGTTCTCTCATTAACCAATTAACACAACACTCTACAGTTTGCTCCACAGCTTACCCCATGGATGAGGTCTATCAGGTAAGAGCTTTCCCTCTCCCCCAGTGATGCCAAGTCCACCGGGTCTGGGTGGCCCTGAGGGCTGCTCTCTCTGCAAGCCCTGTGGCACACCCCTTCTCGCTGCTCGCCTGATTTGTAGGAAGCAAACAGATCGGGTACCAAAGGATCACAGAGCGTGGGTGACTACCGGGGGCTGGGGTCGCAGAGGTGATGGAGAGATTGTGCTTTCTCCCTAAAAATATTGGTCCCACACCCCAAGAATTAGGACAGATGGAGACAATATGATGGTACTGGCTTTACTGTTTGTCCCCACCCCTCCCTGGGCCCCTCCCTGGTCCCTCCCTGGGCCTTGAAATTAGGTCCTCTAAAGACTTTCTTTCTACCCACCTACAACATCTGAATAGAAGACAATCAATTTTCAATACGCTTAACTTACTTTAATACTAAAACCCAAGAATTTAGCTGTATGTGGTGGTGCGTGTCTCTAACCCAGCACATGGGAAACTGGACAGAAGGTTTGGAAGGTCTAGGCCAACCTGGGATGCAAGATCCTGTCTCAGACAAATACTCCAGACAAGGACTACAAAGGAAAAACAACTTCAATAATGTATCTGAATTTTTAGGGCAGTGACTCTTAACCTTCCTGCGACCCTTTTGTACAGTTCCTCAGGTTGTGTTGACCCTCAACCATAAGTTCTTTTTGTTGCTACTTCATACTTGTAATTTTGCTGCTGTTATGAACCATAATGTAAATATCTTTGTTTTCCAATGGTCTTAGGTGACCTCTGTGAAAGGGTCATTCCACCCCCATAAGGGGTCACAACCCATAGGTTAAGAACCGCTGCTTTAAAGGAAGACAACACCACAAGATGTCTAAGTCACTCAGGAAAACAAGGTTAAACTCAAATGCTGGCATGTTTAGCCTACCGTCACTCAAGATAACTGGGCCAAAAGCAAGTCACCCGTTTCACGGGGTCTTACTGAAAAGCAATAAAGAAGAAATGATTGAGAAAGAGGGCTACCGCTCTCTGTGGTCCACACTGGCTTTAAGTGACTGCACCATGGGCATGGGGTGAGCTTGGGTTAGCCCTTTCCGTAAGTGAAGTGACTCTTGTAGTTTCTTTGTCTAGACCACGCCATTACTGAGGGTGTCTTCCATAAAGTCTTGGGTATCTGTCCTAGATAGCATTTTCCATGGGCCAAAAGCAAGAAAGTAGAGATCACCTTACAAATATTAGGAGCCAGTCCAGGGAGATGGGCAGTTTGGGGATCTCTGTGCCCTACACTTCTGCATACATGACTACAGTTCCTGGAAAACTCTGGCTGCTTCCGGGAGACTCTTCCCCATCTGAGGAATTTCACGACAGGTACAGGTGATGGGCAACTGAGATTAAAGGACTTGTCCTTCTGGCCTGCCTTATCAGTAGGCAGGCCCCTCAGCCAATGGGATGCAGGCTGAAGACAAAGGCCAAGAAAGTTCCTGCACTCTGTTGTCTGTCGGAACCCATGACCTGGAGGCATCTTTCTTAAATACTTTGGTTGGAGAAGTGGAAGTACCCAGCATCTGAGAACCTGTGGCCACTAACTCACAAGTAATTTCTCAAATTACTGCAGCCACCAGAAAACCCTTTGCTATTTGCAGTGAACAAAAACCTCACTTTTCTGCCATGCTTCAAGGGACCTGAGATGATGGGAGGAGGCTTTTCAGTGAAAATCAAGTTATTAACTCTTGTTTTGTATATCACAGAAGTTTGTTTAATCTGACAGCTTCCTGGCTTGCCTATAAGGAACAAATAAATAAATATGCTTAGCTCCACAGACGTCACCTTACAAGAATGTGGTTGCATTTAGGCTTAAGAAGGCAAGTCACATCTATTTCTGTGATGCATTTGATAACAGGGCACAATTCTATACTAATTCTTGATATTATAATTCTAGTCTTAAATAGTTAACTCTAAAAACACAGCAGTGAGTCCGCCTTTGGGACATGCTATTATGAAGTGCATTTGTCTTTTCCTTTTGCATTTCAGATAAGCTAGGTCTACTTTTGTTCCTACAGCAATGAAATTTCGTGATCATTTTTATAGTTTTGTTATAATTTCGAGACATTATATGTATCTCCAACTGCCCTTGTACTCCTCCGGTGGCGTTAGAGTCATAACAACCCTCCTGTCTCAGCTTCTTGAGGGCTGAGATTGACAGGTGTGTGTCATAATAACTGGCTTTGGAAGCTTTTGGTATTTGAAGGTTGAGGCCAGTTTTATGAGAGTTGAGAAGAAAACATCAGGCAGAGGAGCTCTCAGTGCCAGCAGCTGCTGGGAGGAGGGGATGGGGAAGAGGAGAGAAAGCCTTGCCCTTTGAGTTAGGTCAGCGTGTTCAGCAAAGGAAGGTGAGAAACTTTACTTAGGAATTTAATCATGCTGGCTGAATAATGCCATTTTAGCCCCATGGAAGACAGAACCCAAACCAAACTCCTCAGCACACGGAAAGAGCTTTCTTTTTCTAGATCCATTTACAGCACACTTTGGGGGGGGGGGATCACTTGATGATGATAGATCCAAGAGGAAAGCACACTCCTTATGAGGCCCATGTGAGGTCTGTAGAGTTGAGGGCACAAAGGAAACCAGGTCCAAGCAAAACACCCAAACCTGAGTCTTGTTCCCAAGGACTCACCGGAGCCAAGGTGCAATCCCTCCGCAAAGACTTCTAGTTCTTGCTCCAGCTCCTCTGTAGGTCAGCAGGGCAGCGATGATGGCACTCTGAGGCTGCTCTGTTTATGGATGGCAGTGGGAATGCCACCTGTTGAATGGGAAACATCATTATTGACATTTTCTTTCAAGTTCTGTGCAAGTGCACTGGATGAACTTTGTGGGTACTTTGCCTTGATCCCATTACAGGGTGAATTTGGGTACTATCAGTTTCCCATGCTTTGTTCCATCCTGACAAACACACTCTCCAGTGCAGGCTTATTTCCCTGTGGTCATGATAACAATGGTGGTGATGGCAATGATACTCTTATCCCAACCCTCAAGTCCAATTTTCAAGTATGTAAAGAGTGGCAAAGAGTTTGAGAAGCTGGGTACAGCCAAACCCCCATTCCGAGGTACAAACAAGTCTCAAAAGCCTTTCTTTCTTTCATTCAGAAGTCTCCAGAAATCTCAGGTGACCCAAGAGACAACCTGATAGTCAAGTTTGAAATTTAATGATGCAAACTGTCAGGAGCTGTGATTTCAAAACAGTGGCCAGTGATGGTATTAGGTTAGGATCCACATACTGGTCAACCTCAGCTCAATACCATGGGATTCACATACTGGTCAACCTCAGTTCAATACTATAAGATTCATATACTTGGTCAACCTCAG